TATGGGCTTGTGCTGAGATCCAATAATCTATCTCATGCGAGCACACATTCCATGGAGAAGTCCGAGGGTTGTGTGAAGATCTTGATAACGGATTTGAGGGTTAGGGTCTTGGCAGCAGTTCTTTGTATTCTAGGGTATACCTAGTATACCTGCAAGTCTACAGAAAGATCGGCCCAAATAGTCGCTACGACTGTACTTCAGGAAGCCATAAACACCTTGCATAGTTCAAAGAAGAGTCCTGAGGCAACTAAGCCCAAACCCTGAACCCTAAACCCTGGAGGGTTCACATCAAGACTCGAGTTCAAGGTTCAAGGTTCGGGCCTTTTCTTTGGGTGAGAGCTTCAGGGTAGGGCCCTAGTGTTCGGGCTTCAGGGCTAGGCCGAAACTCATTTAGGAGCAGTCTGCAGAAGAGAACCTTGGACATACTGCACCAAAACAAAACATAGCATTGAACATAATCGTAGTAGTGAATCTAAGAGAAAAACAAAGGCAAAAGGTACTCATGATTCTCTTAGTATGCTCATCCTAATCACAATTGGGGTACTCAGAATCAAACGCATAACAAGGACGGTGCTCACAGTAATGACAACCCACATCATAAAGACAGTTGCAAGCGCAAACATCACTCGTCATCCTGGTGAGAAACGAATGCTGATCAAACTCTCAAGACAAACTCGCAGGTCACAGCCTGGCACAGGTGGAGAGGCTCAGGTAAAGATCCCGTGAGTCGCATGGCGCGAATCTGTTGTGAGAGTTTTGCACAGAACGTGCTGAAGGTTCCAAAGAAGGGTTCCAGGAAAAGGGGGGCCTTTTTAAGGATCTCCTATCCAATCTCGGTAATTCTCATGTGCATGGGCCGCATGATGAGCAATGCCAGCGGCGACCCGAGTTGCGAGGCTGCACGGAGGAATGTGTGGGAAGCCGCAGGCAGACTCCTCACACCAGCTCCTGCACAAAGTACCTGTATGCCCTCTGCACATGGCCATGCTCCGCGGTAGTAGGCACCGGTAAGCACTTGGAGCGAAGGGTCGCTCGCAAGCCCGATCCTGGAGGTCCGTGTCAAGCTCAGCATCTTGGCATCGTGAGCCGGAGCATCCATGGGCCAAGCTTACATGGCCCCGTCCGCCCAGCACGTGGCTTGTTGCAGAAAGTCCAACACGATGCTGAGGATGCACCTAGCTGGCGGCAGAGATCTCAGGTTCGTGTCATCTGACGCTGGTTTCTGCCTTCTCTTTGCTTGCATCTTCTTCAGTTCTATTTGCTCTCTACGGTTCAGACTCGACATAACCCTGGCCTCGCAGCTTGTAGCTCACGCTCAGCGGCACACGCCAGCAGACATGCGACGTCAGCAACGGGGCCAAGCCGGACCCACTCGGCATCGAGCACCGTTGGCACCGGCAGTGCCAGGCAGTAAGGGACGGGCACCCGATTGCTTAGATGGTTCTCTGCCAGCACTGGACACTTCTCCCAGGTGCTGTCTTTGGCTGCATTCGGCCATGCTTTTAAAATGCAAAAGCCCTCAACAGCCTGCGGCCGGGTTCATGAGGTGGCCCAGCCGGAAACTCAAGCACAGCAAGCTGCTAGGACAAAACCACATGCTTCAAAGCACTGGCTGATACTGGCTGAAATCACCCTCGAGGCTCAAGGGCTGCAAAGCAAGGCAGACCACATTCTTTATCTGCGGCTAAACGACAACAAGAGGGAGGACAACGCCACTTTACCAACATTAGCGGGGAGGACATGTGTCTGTACCTGATGCAGCCTGAGTCAAGTTACCTGGTCACAGCTGACGGTGCATTACGAAACCACAAAGCGGTGCCGTCCGGGCACCCCGTCTGCAATTTGGATGATCCAGATGACATATCTGTGCTCGCAGTCACTCATGCCACAAAGCCTACTGGGATCTGGCCCGTCACGGACAACACGCCAGAACCATACACACGTTGACTTGTCTGGAACTGATGAAACGGACATTCGACTGGACAACATCAAGCATGCTCAGTGACTATCGTCGTCATTGTTTGGGCTAGGTTTGAGGCCCCAGATCAGACCACGGGAATGATCGTTGGGATGTGAGTTCTGTCCCTTGTGTCGTCGTCGTGCCAGACACCAGGAATGGCATATGTTGTCGTATGCGAGGTGCAATGCTGACGACAACATATAATACATTGCGAGGATGAGGTTTCTATCCCATTGAGGATACCAGCGGCGGACGCAACCACCCAGGTACTCCTCATAGCAGATATATACGTTTGCACGTCTACTACTCATGGTCTTCGTTGGTCCCAGCATGAGTAGCAGATCTAGGACCCCCTGCATGAAATCGAACAATGGGCGTGACCCCAATCTTGCATGTACAGCAAGTTACACACACACACACCCACACACCCACACCCACCCACACACACACACACAACACACACACACACACACACACACAACACACACACACACAACACACACACACACAACACACACACACACAACACACACACACACAACACACACACACACATAAAATTCATGATCCAGCCTAGCTTGGACCATCATGTGAAAATCAATGCACTATAAATCAAAAAAAGAAGAAGAAGACTCCTATTGAATTATGAACTCTGCATCAGATCTGGTTCTATGACATGTATGGCTAGAGGGGTGAGAAGTCACATACTCCACACATTCAGACACGATCTTCTGTATGGATCTTTCGTATGCCACACCACTCGGGCATGCGACCGAAACTCGATCCGGGTAATTCACTTCTCGCACGATCCTAGTCGTCGGCCCACGGACGTCTTGGTTCTGAATACCGCTCTTCTTCATCAGAATGATTGGCATCGTTATCCTCCAATTAAGGACACGGGGAATATTCGAGCTCTTAATCGATGGTCATTGTGGACCCTCTATCTCGGAGTTGTAGCTGGGACCTCTCCAGTAGTCATGGAGCTCCGCCCACGAGGAACTCGAGATAGTCCCAAAAGACCCCGAAAAGTTGGAACGATGAACCTTTCGACATCCCTCATTGCTGTAGTTCGGCTTAAGGGAACCGTAGAAGATACTCTAAAGAATCTCTAAAGAACTCAACTCTCCCAATGGTTGCTGGTTGCTGTAAGAGACCTTCATTTTAAACCGGATCCTTGCGTCACCGAAACGTTCTCAGCAGTATCCCATGCTCTTCCAAACTGTGGCAACCACTTGGCCTGTCGAAAACAAGCCTTGCTGGCGACAATTCTGACAGGGACGCGTTGCCGGACATGAGGTGCCCATGTTTAGAACAGCGGGCGACGTGCAAACTTCAAAAACGGCCGAGCGAGACAGCTCAAGCACTTGGGGATGACGCGGTTGCAAGCTGTGCTTGATAGGTTTGACATGTCCTTGGCTGTTCTGGAAGCCCGGCAAAATAAGACTGGTTCAAGCAAGCTATATTTTGGGATTACACGAAGCACAAACGGATAAACCGTGTTGATACTCCACTAGGACGACAATAGGCAGAACAGGTTTTCAAACACAGCCCAGAGGCAGGCTCCAAGGAAGCACTGCAAAAATGGTCGCTGCTAGGTTGATTGTGATGAGGCTCGACCTTGTTCTGGAAGTTTTCTCTCCGGAAGGTTTCTATCGAGCTTGAACGGAAACGACAGAACAGGGACCCGAACTATAACGGCCAAGGTACACAAAGCTTTCACACTCGGGGTCTGTAAGGCCCATTCGGTCCCGGCAGTCCTCAGGTAGATGGCCGAAGGGTCTGTAAAACTCTTAGTGACAGATGTTTTCCCGATTTTTAAGCAGTCCTGAAGACCTTCCTCCCGGTACAGCGCTTCCGATACGAAGATGAACGCACAATTGCCTTGGCTCCATCAAGCGTGTACAGTGTTCAGCTGCTGCCACGACGATGTGGCCATGACAGTGACGACGACGACTACTCTGACAAAAACAAGTCAGGACCCAGAAGCGGGTCATCCCCAGAGCCGTGTCAAAAGCGCAATTGCCTTGGAATGATTCGACCAAGAACAAACTACAACGATGGCTATTGGTATCATTGTTGTTGATTTCATCTGCGTTCTTCGAAAATAGCAAGCAGATCAAGCAGCAGACTGAACTGTCAAGGCCCAGCTGCAGTTGTAAGCCTCAAACTTGGACTTACTGCTCAAGGAGCAGCTTCCTGTCCACTGATAGGGATGGGGGGGCTCTGCAAAGAAGCGGTACGTGAAATTGCCGAAAGCGTCCTGGCTCGTTCTCATGCAGGGACAACGTGGACTGAAATAGAGAGATGCGCTTTCCTTCTGCCCTCAAATCAATAAAGGCTTCTACAAGGAATTCTTGGTATTCTTGGTGACCCCAAGTCCACAAATCCGCTTTCAAAGTGGCTTCCCTCCGAGAGACTCCTGAACCCTCTGCCCTGCGCACCAGCCACCACTGGCTCCAAGAAAGTTGTACCTTGGTTCTTGGAACCCTGGCCACTTATGGTAAAAACAATATTCGAAATTTCAATGCTTGGGCTGCTCCTTGCCCTTAGCCAGCGCACTGCAATGCGCCAGATGAGACGCCTCGACAAATGAAAAACACGGCACAAGGACCACTACGCGAAGGCACGAGACGCGACATGAGGACCAAGACACGAGCCAACACGACACAAGACCATGAAGACGTGACATGAGGACACGAAACGAAGACACAACACAAGACACGACACCAGCACACGACACGAAAAAAACGACACGAAGACACAGAGAGAGAGAGGGAGACACGATACGAAGACACGACCCGAGGAAACGACACCAGGACGCGGAACAAGACATGCCACGAAGACTCAAAGCCACAACAGGAGGACCTCACAAATGCACCACACGAGACAGAGCGAAGGGCCCTCTTTTTCCCTAACTTTCGTCTTGCGGAACTTCTGTCGAACCTGAAAGTCGCATCCGAAAAGTGCTCATTATTCAGGGGAGTAATGAAACGGGGGAAGGGATCACCTGATTCACTATATTTCACTATGACTTATGAAACTATGAGTACAGCTTGTGAAAAAGTAAAGTAAGCGCAAATGGCCCCAGGTACTCCACAGCGCTGCACTGCGAGTCCGCAGCGACGCTGCCGCGTAAGACAATGCAGGTCTGTCCGAAGATACAGCTGAGGGTGTTGCCACGCTCCCAAGCGCAATAAGTTGACTCGTTTGCGTAGGAGCTTGTCCTGACATGTAAACAACCATTGCTGTGGTTGACCTTATTTTTCTTTCTCAATTCTGACCAGGTTTGTACTTCTTCCTGTTGCTGGTACTGTTCTGGTTGGTCAGTCGTGCCAGTGCCCAACACATATGATATGTGCCATCAGAGCGGCTTGGCAATGGGGGTACATGGATTTGAGGCCCACAAACTGTATATTGAACTGATCACTTACATCTGTTCTGTTGGGGGTTTTCGATCCTACAGATGCAAGTTTCTCCGTCTCTCACCAAGCATGGCTGAAGACTCTCCTGAGCAAGAGTGGGGAAAACCAGGCCTTCCAAAAATCGATTGCGCGATTTAAGAAGCCTGTCCTGACAAAACGCCCGTTCTCTGAGGCCGTTCCATTGAAGTCACCTTGGAATTCAAGCCTCAGGAACTCCTGGGTGACGAGGTAACCCAATTCTGTTCCTCCATCTGCGGTGAAGTTGCACTCCACATTTAAAACCTTTGGAAAGCCACCATTGCAGTCTGTCAGGCCAGGAAAGTCCAGTGATTCACCATAAGCAGGGCCATAGGTAGTCTCCTGGAGAAACCTGTACTGCGCAAAGAACTGCAACTTCGCTGGCACACAAGCATTTGCTGGTGTAACGCCTATGAAGACTGCACCGCCAAGGAGGTTCAGGAACTGGTTGTTGCACAGCATGGACCCTTCCGATTCTTGCTCGCGAAGGACACACATGAAGAGCTGCCGTTGTGCGAGCCTGGTCCGGCCGATTTGGGACAGCTCCATCTTGGCCTGAACGAACTTGCCTGGAGGGTTTTGACAGAACGGGATCTCCTTTGTTCCGGGTCCTGACAATACGGAATCCTACATCTACCAGTGTGCGGAGTGCAGGAGCCTGTATCTTGAGTAACTAATGCTGCACTCTCCTAGATTTTCGAGCCTGATGAACTGAGTTGCCCCAGTTCATCGAACTGAAGAAAGGTCGCTTTTCCCGCCACGTTGACCGGACCGTCAATTGCAGCCACTGTTCCGACAATCTCAAGGATTACGCCATTCAGCCGAGGAGTGCCGCACGTAGAGACATTCGTAGAGACATCTGAAGCCTCCTCCACGAGGTTCCCGCGTCCGCTCGCGCGCCACCAATTCTTGTTCCACTTCTTCCAATTGCCATAGCGCTTGCGGCCGTAGCGGTCATAGATGTCATAGCCATAGCTCTTGGGAGAGGAAGGCCCCGAAGGGTGGTAGTTGTGATAGCCGTTGGATCCGTTGGAGCCCTCGGAGCCGCTCACTGCATTGGCCAGGCAAGCCAAGGAGCTTCGCTTGCGAGGGAACCTGTCTTCCCAGGACAACTGCGGTCGGCGCGCCCAGAAAAATGCACATTCCCATCCCCAGTTCAGGCGATCCCCATCTCACTGCCCGCATGTGGCTGCCCATCAATCCAGACCAACCCCCGAAAATCCCAGAGAGAATCCCGCCCCGTATCCCTGGAGTGCACACAGAATCCCGCATAGAATCCCGCCGAGTATGGGCCGACCACTCACTTGCGACTGTCTTTTGTCTCACTTGTGACTTTTTTCTTCTCACTTCCGACTACAAACTTGGCTCACTTGCGACTATACACGCCCTCACTTGTGACTATGTCGCCCCCAGACACTCCCGCTCGAGAGGGGTTCCAACTTGCGACTATAAAGAAAGCAGCTTTCCCACTTGCGACTATTTGCAGAATTTTCTAGTCACAAGAGTGTCACAAGTGAGTACGGATTTCTGGCTTGCAGCGTGCCAAAGTGCCAAACCGTGGTCAGCTGACAACCACATCATTAATATCACTCTCGAAGATAAGGGGTGGGGGGGGGGGGGTAATAACGTGCTGGTCAACTGAATCCATGACAACCATGTCCACTCCCGAAGATCCAAGGGGGGGAGGGGGGGCAGGTCATCTGCGACTACTTTCTTCTTCTTCTTCTTCTTCTTTAGGGCCTTTAGGGCTTGTTCTTTAGGCTCTTTAATCTTTCGGGTTCAGGGTTTAGGGTCGGCTTGGGGGTTTAGGGTTGAGGGTGGGTTTGAGGATTTCGGGCTTCGGGTTTCGGGTCGGTTTTAGGGTTTAGAGCTTAGGGTTTCGGGCGTTTGAAATCGAGCTTCTTTTGGGTATCAACGAAAAAGGTACAAGCGAAAGCTTACAAAAAAACAGTCACAAGCGAGAAAAGATGAAAAAGTCACAAGCGAGTGAAAAAACGTCACAAACGAGTCTGGATCCTGTTTGACATAGACGACAAATGCAAAAAAGAACTTGGCTCTACCCTTTTGACAGATTCTATCGACCTAAGCCCGACCCTCCACCTTCTATTGTAGTTCCTGTTTTGGGGAGGGACCTGAGTCAGCTCAAAAAGGCTTACTTCGACCTCTTGGGTCCTTCTGTTGTAAGATGCCTTTCTGTGATCGGACAAGCAAGCCACTCTAGGAGTACTCTCTGTAACAAGTGCCCGTAAAATAGCTCCAAGGGCTCCAGGTGTCTACATTGGCAGCCCAGAAACGACAGCACCGGGGACGGGTAGTTCACCAAGGCGTCCTAGGGATGCGCGAACTGCTTGAAAAAAAAACGTCTCAAGCAAATTCAAGCAACTCTGTCTTAAGCTCCATTCTGTATAAGGCGGCCAATCTGAAAGCACTGCACAGTCCTGGACGCTCATGTTGTTGTCGGGGGTACCCCTGAAGAGCCACACCCCCGCCCACAGCTGCTGTCATGCTGCTATACCCCAAAGTGGTTTTAAAGCGCAACTCTGCGAGAGCCCACGAACATAAACACACACACACACACACTGCCACCTTAAGCGCACTTGCTTGAGGGCCTCACGCCCACAATCTCCAGGCTCCGCGCAACACAACGTTTCGGCTGGAAGTCGCGGATTCTGAACTCCATAATGTACGACATGTTTTCGGAGGTGCATTCGAAGCTCCGCTTGCCTCCGCTGCTTGGAAAGGAGCATATGGCCTCGAAGTCCAAGGAGCCATGGAAATCGAGATGCACCAGTTGTCCATAGTCATTGGGGTTCATGAGCAAGTCCCCCTGAAAGGCCGTATGGATTTCGCCGGACAAGTTTGCAGCCTCCACCTGATTGAAATTCCACGGATACACGGTGATCACCGTCAGCTCGGATCCATCATATGTATAGTTCGTCAGCTGAGGGAAGCGGCCCTGGCATTCACGAGGAATGGATGAAAGGCCTCGATAATAAGAATGACCTGGATAATGGCCTGCCGACAGGAACGCTTGCAAGACGAGCACCACAAAGGCTAGTACCATGGGCATCACCAGTGGCAAAAGCCGGGCAGCCAATCGGTCCCATGAAGTTGCTCGAACCGCTCATGCCACTCGCAGAAACTCAATCCCAAGAGGCACAATCAAAGACATGCGAACTGTGTTTGCAACATATCCCTTCCGATGCATTTCTACAGCACATCATACCCACTCACAGAGAGTCATATGCATAACGGCGTTCCCTGGCCATGCTGGTTTGTTAACGTGCGAGTTCCCAGGCCCATCTCGTTACAATCCAGGGGAAGAATGGGGAATTACAGAGGTTTCGGGAGAACGACAATGTCTCAAGCGCGCTTTTTTTGGGGGAGTTCGGAGTGAACCCAGTGAACCCATGGTCTTCAGGAGAGCAAGTCGAGCGAGGGACGAGGGGATCCGACTCAGAAATGTATCCACACGCACCCGCGTTAGTACCTCAAAGGGGGATATATAGCTGATCCTTAAGTTCACCTAACCTATGTAGGTAATCCTAATTTGGTGTCCCGCATATACGACACAATGAGTTCAAGATGTCGTCATCTTCTTTCAGCAATCCCCCATTTCTTTAATTCCCATATCGGGGAGTTGGCATTGCATTATCTATTTTACTGACAAAGGGCTGCGATTTGTTTGTATGCTGACCGAGTCCATTTAAATGTATTCCTTATATATAGTTTCGGGTACCCAATAGAGCCTGCAATTGTTATCAACCCCCCGGTTGAAGGTTCGGGCTTTGCTTTGGGGTTGAGGGCTTCAACAAGAAACATCATTAACCCAGCTGTGCCACCCAACAGCCAGCAAGACAAAGATGATCAAGTTCCGTTCCATTCTGGCGTTCCGTCCGGCCTCCGGGGTGATACATGGCCCCCTGCCTCTAGAGAGAGAGACCCAACCCTTCGGCTGTTGGGAATAAACATCACAGTTTACTTCTGAACCCAACCCGACGCCCCGGAGTTAAACCTGAGAACCTGTTCGCAGAGCAAACAAAGTTGTGAAAAACCTGAAAGGTTAGAAAATAGCTCCCGCCAGCGACCAAATAGCTCGCGCCATCACCAAACCCTACGAGCACAGAGGGAGGGGACATACAACAAACCTCTAGTGCCCTGATAAGGGCCCTAGAGGTTTGACGCATGCGCCGTCCCTTCGTGCTCGCAGGGTTTTACACCAGGGAAATCACGCCCAAAAACCCGTCATCGTGGCTCCATGAGGGTTGCGAATACGCCTCTGGTATGCGTAGAATATGCTTGCAATCCCACGAAGGGATATACATCTCAATTGACTCAAACGACCCTCTCCCCAAAAAAGGGTGGTTACCGAAACATCTGGACTGTGGGCAGGTTTATGGGGCCACGATTACATCACCAGCACTATTTTTGGGCAGGCTATGGAGCCATCGTGGGACTAGTAAAACACGTTCTGTTGAAGGCTTTCCTTGCGTGTCAGTCGTAGGCAGTTGTAGTCTGCAGTTGCTGCTAGCCTTGAGGCGGCCTCATGTACAGTTGCTAGGTGCCCGTAGTTTGTAATTGCTTGTATGCTGCCATGTACTTCGGCTCTAGGGAAGGCTATGGAAGTAAACCCTTGGAGCCGTGAGTAAGCTTGTATAGCGCGCAGTGCTGCTTGTTTGTCCCGCTGTGGTTGTTTGTTGTGGTTTGACGTCTGTAAAGTAGAAGCTGGGGCCATAGTCCTTGCGTGCCAAAAAGATCACATCTGCGCGAACTTCGCTATCATGCAGGGCCAGCCTGTTCAACAGAAAGGCATCAGCGTACGTGTATTTGCAAGTTGCGCCGCTCGTGAAGAGCATATGTGCACTCAACTTTAATTTACTTGCCAAGCGCAGGAGGAGCGATGGTGATGAACTTGCTCCGTGCCCAGGTCCGTACCCCAAGTGGTTGAAGGTTCCCTAATTAAGCTTTCTTAATGCCCGAACCTGTGTGCAGAGGGCCTGCAAGAACGACCTGGATTAGCTACGCAGGGCTCTTGTTTGCAAATTTTACGCTATTTGAGACATAACACGCCCCTAACCTCTAAGACCATGTGTCGCGTCTGCAGAAACGCATTCCGCGCAGGCCACTGCTCTAATGCCGGCTAACAGGCGCGGCCGGCCTTCAGGTGCGCAGGTCTGAGGTGCCAGAGGTCTAAGGTCAGGTGCGAGAGGCTCAAGGTCAGGTGTCCGACATGCTGTAAATATGCAGTGTGTGTCCTCGCCCTGACGATCGAGCCAAGGAGGAGTGTTGAAGGCATTCCTTGCATGTCAGTCGTAGGCAGTTGTAGTCTGCAGTTGCTGCTAGCCTTGAGGCCTCATGTGCAGTTGCTAGGTGCCCGTAGTTTGTATTTGCTTGTATGCTGCCATGTACTTCGGCTCTAGGGAAGGCTACGGAAGTAAACCCTTGGAGCCGTGAGTAAGCTTGTATAGTGCGCAGTGCTGCTTGTTTGTCCCGCTGTGGTTGCTTGTTGTAGTTTGAAGTCTGTAAAGTAGAAGCTGGAGCCATAGTCCTTGCGCCTGTGCCAAAAAGATCACATGTGCGCGAACTTCGCTATCAGGCAGGGCCAGCCTGTTCAACAAGTTCCCTAAAAAAGGCGGCTACCCAAATATCTGAAACCCTGCGAGCACCAAGGGAGGGGACATACGACAAACCTCTACGACCCGCAGGCCCTCGCAGCCCCTTAAAAGACAGGTTTCCCGAAACATCTGAACTGTGGACAGGTCATGGGGCCACGCTTACGTTACCAGCGGTGGGACTAGTAAAAAGGTGCGAGCAAGGGAGGGGGACACACGACAAACCTCTAAGACCCGCAGGCCCTAACAGCCCCTCAAAAGAAAGGTGGCTTAGGCTTTTACACTGGTTTTGCCGAAACAACTGAACTCTGGGCAGGTTATTATGGGGCCACGATTACGTTACCAGCACAGTTTTTGGGCAGGCTATGGAACCATCGTGGGACTAGTAAAATACGTTCTCGAAAAACGGCGGTTACCCAAACATCTGAAACTCTACGAGCAACAAGGGAGGGGACATACGACAAACCTCTAAGACCCGCAGGCCCTCACAGCCTCTTAAAAGAAAGGCCTTTTTATTCCGGCGCTGTGAGGTTTTGTGGGTCTTAGAGGTTTGTCGGTTTTCCTTTCCCTTGGTGCTCGTAAGGTTTCAGATGTTTCGGTGACCACCTTGTTTTGGGGAGAGTGTGGTTTAAGTAAGGTGAGATGTTTATCCCTTCGTGGAACTACAAGCATTCTATGTGCATAGCCAGAGGCGTATTCACAACTCTTATGGAGCCACGATTACGTTACCAACACAGGTTTTTAGGCGTCATAGGGTTTTAAGGTCTTTTTGCCTGGTGTCAAACCACACAAGCTCAAAGGGAAGGGGGACATACGACAAACCTCTAGGGCCCTTACCAGGCATTGGAGGTTTGTCGCATGTCCCCTCCTCCGGAGCTCGTAGGGATTGGTGATGGCGCAGGCTATTTTGTCGCTGGCGGGGGGCTATTTTCTAACCTTTTTGGTTTTTTTCTCACAACTTTGTTTGCTCTGCGAACAGGTTCTCAGGTTTAACTCCGGGGCGTCGGGTGGGTTCAGTACTAAAGTGCGGTGTTTATCCCTTTGTGGGAAGAGTCCCAGGAAGCCAAAAACCTGTGTGCGCTGGTAACGAAATCATGGCTCCGGACAACTGGTAAAGGGGAAACGGAAGCTAGCACCCGGCACGAATTATTTGGTCGCTGGCGCGAGCTGTCACAGGGGAGGTTTTGTCCCAACTCTGCCTAAAGGTTCGAAACAATCCTGGATGTAATCTAGGATTTAAACCCTGAGACACCACACGAGCTCTCCCCACAGAGCGATCATCTCAATCTACTTAAACCACCCTTTTTATGGGCATGTATGACTTTTCCCGAAGAGAGGCGTGTAAGTCACAACGCGTTGGAGCACGTTATGGCGCTTTTTCTGTGGTTTCCCCCAAGAAGAGGCCAAGAAGAGGCAGCAAATCATAACGTGGTGTGCGCATTCAAGAAAATAACTATACTATAGTACTCTTTTATACGTCACCCACGTTCTGATTTGCTGCCTTTTCTTGGGGAAACCGGCCATAACGTGCTCCTGCGCGTTATGATTTGCGTGCCTCTATGGGGGAAGGCAAAGCAGCAGCGAACGCCCCTTCAATGTTGCAGGACGATTTACGTCTGCCGGTCCGATCACTCTTGCTCACGCATTGAATGACATCGAGACGTTCTGATTTTCGGGCTTTGGCCGCAGGTGCATATTGGCGCATATTCACAACCCTTTTGAGCCGCGTCTACGTTGCTAGCACATGTTTTTGGGCGTCCCGCTCCCAGATTGGGCGCTAGTTGGTTAGTCAAAGCACGTTATGATTTTCGGGCTTTGGTCATGGCTCTTTTCCCACAAAAGGATAAACATCTCAATTTACGTAAACCACCTTTTTTAAGGAGCGTGTTTTACAGCCCCTAAAACACAGGGGCAGGTGGGGTGCTTGTTGCGTACGCTGAAGGCCCCACCTAAAGGTTTGTCGCGTGTCCCTTCCCTTCGTGCTCGCAGGGTTTGGTGAGGGCCGTAGAGGTTTGTCGTACGTCCCCTCCCTTCGTGCTCGTAGGGTTTCGTGCCAGATGTTTCGAATCTTTTCGCAGAGCAGGCAAAGTTGGGACAAAAACCTCCCTGGGACCAAATAGCTCGCTCCAGACGTTTCCCCTACGACCAAATAGCTCGCGCCAGATGTTTAGAACCTTTTCGCAGAGTTGGGACGAAACCTCCCTTGCGACCAAATAGCTCGCGCCAGCGACCGAATAGCTCGTGCCAGCGACCAAATGGATCACGCCAGGTGCTAGTTGCTTAAAGCTTCCCCCTTACCAATCGTCCGGAGTCCGGACTAACCTCTTTTAGGGGACAGATCATGGAGCGATTACGTTGCCAACACACTGGTTTTTGGCTGCCTGGGATTCTTCCCACAAGGGGATTAACCCAGCTGCGCAACCCAGCCAGCAAAACAAAGATGATCAAGTCCGTTCCG